TTCAGCAACCTATTAAATTTCTGTTATGTTTCATGTAGGAGAAATACACATTTTTTTCAATCGTATTTAATACAGCTGGCAAAATAAATTGTTAAAATACGTATTTTGTGCTTCTGTTTTTTAATTCAGGAGATTATAAAAAAATCCTTCATTTTATGGGAAGACCCTCGATTCAAGAGAAAACTCCGGTTTTTAAAAAAATGGCTGCTTATTATTTAATTGTTAATAAATCTATAAGATAAATCAACTTCAGATTAATTCATTATCAACAACTTGCATCCTTAAAGCGTTAACTTAATTTATATCTACTCATATTCATGTAATTAAGTGTTTTAATGATTTGACTGATTAATCGATTAATCGAAAAAATAATCAACAGATTAATCGATTATTAAAATAATCGTTAGTTGCAGAACCTAAATAACATAAAAAATTGCGGAGCGAGATGCACGCCAAAACATACTGAAGAAAAAATGATCTGAATGCTCATGAAGGATTCACACAATAAACTGTAGCAGTGCGAATACAGCCCTACAATAATCATATTTCTATATTCATTCTGATTTTTATAACTTGACTTTAGTTTTAAGTGACTGAAATACAGATTTTTATTATTTATTGCTCGTGGTTTTTTGTCTTCTATCACCTCTTCAACTGCTCTTCTTCAACCATACAAACACACGAACCATTAAAAGCTCTACTCACCCATGGGGAAGGAGACTCTGGGGGTCAGTCTGGTAAGACATGGGCTCAGCACACTCAACAAGGCCACAGTGAGACTCAGGAGGCTGCGACTGTCCATTGGATCATCAGGTAAGGTGTTTAACCTTGGCTGAAGGTAAGGTCAGAGAGCAAGCAGCAAACTGTGAGGATGAAGCTGATGTCGTGTACTCAAACCATCCTGGAATCTGAGACAGAAACACAAAAAAAAAAAACACAACATGTAATCCCACAGTACTGTACTCAGTTATCCAAAGTAACAGACAGACATGTAGAGTAGATATAATGCTTCAGTCTGTGTAAAATCTATAGGTCATTATTAAAAAAGTAAAGTAAAGTAAAGTAAGAAACAGAGCTGCTTCATGGGAGAAGAACCTCAGCTTAGCCTGTTAGCTTTTGAGCTAGCGCCGACGCTATATTGCCTTAAATGTATTAGCTCGGTGCTGATGTGACAAACAAGCTAACCTGTTGTCCTCCATCCATATTTTCAGTTCCAGGCTGAGTCATTTCTACCTTCTCCTCTCTGTCAACGCTCTCTGGT